CGCCATACTGCCATAGTGTACAACGGGTTCCTCTTGTACCATTATTATATAACTAGCTCCTGCTAGCAACTACTCCTGCTTTTCCAGAAAAAAAATTTACCCTTGTGTTATTACATACTATAATCTATCTCTATCCCAAATTTCATTTCAGTCTATTTAGTATTTTTCGCGTTAAAGAGCAACAAACAGACAAATTAATTTTCACATTTACAATATTTTATTTCAAGCGTAATGTACCTACTCCTGCACGCTATCACCCGCAACTCCTATGAATTAAATGTAGCGTGATGTTCTTCAATAAATTGTTTGTCATCATCCAACACAAAAATCGGTTTTCAAATTGAATCATTAGTTCCGGAGATTAGTGCGCAGATACATACAATCTCTTCTTCTAATTAATATATTATCATCTTTATCGATAAATCTTCCACTTCCTTCTTGTATTACTACCGGGTTTTTATATCGTATTCATCCGCTTTATAGTTTTATAATAATGTGTCCTCGATAAGGTATTTTAATTAATTGATTTCGATGGCAGCTGTAGGGTCATAAGATGTTTCCTAATGATTTTATTATGATAACTCTTAATCATGTGTATAGATGCAAGTTTGTTTACAAGTAACTAATTGCTAGAGAAAACCTTAACGCGCTTCAAGAAAGGTATACGGTGTACTTACATTTTGGCAACAAATACAAAAAATCGTCTCAATAGCCAAAGTTCCAAAGTATAAGATAACCTAACAAAATTATCTAGCCGTCAAGAGCAAAACTTTTCTAGCTCCTAATTGTATTTGTAACGTATCTGCGATGGTACTAATTCGTACAATTTTCAACCTTCCGTTAGATACCTGGTAGGTGTTTTGTTGACAGATAAGCTCGAGCCAAGTCCGCTAGCAACCCTTTTTTTTTTTTTTTTTTTTTTTTTTTTTTTAAGGGGGGAAAATCATCGAATGACTGCCCCCGCCTGGGTGAGGCGGGAGGGAGTGTCAGACTCTTACTGACTAAAAACCACCCCGTTCCTTCTCCTGCACGTCGAGCCGGAGCCCCGGTTACCCGTTAGGTTCTCCGCGACTCCGAATCGGCATCGGCCCTATTGGGCCCCATCTGTGGTGGTCTGATGGCTCTTTGAGGCGCGCGCGGAACGCGACGCGCCGTACGCTCGGGTCTGTTTCTGGTCGGACGGGGAGCCACCCATGCTCGCCGTCCGCAGGCCCGCGCTTACGGTGGCCGGAGATCGTCCCGCGATCCCCGACGCCCGGTGTGTCCTTCGCGATGGCTGGGTTGCGAGGAGGCAGCGCTTCGCTGCCTCACGCGTCCCGCCTCCTCCTTAGCTAGCATGACTGCTTCGCAAAAGGAGGAGACGGCATCCCAATCCCCCTCGCTCCGCATCATGGCCTGCACTAGGCCCGGACGCGAGAGGTCGCCATCGCCGATCACTTCCCTGAGGACACGGCGGTGCTCAGCCCACGAAGGGCATTCTCCCACCGTGTGTTCCACCGTGTCCTCAGGGCGGTCCTCGCAGTGATGACACCCGGGCGTTTCCTCCCGCCCCATCAGACACAGGTACCTCCCGAAACTTCCATGTCCGGTGAGGACCTGCGTCAGGCGGTAGGTGAGGACGCCGTAGCGTCTCTCAAGCCACTCCTCAAAGAGGGGACTTACCGCTGCGATGGCAGCGAGCCCAGCCCTCGGTTGCGACAGTCGTTGCTGCCATTCCGCCATGAGATCGCGCCGGAGCTCATCCCGCCACGCACTTATCTGGCGCGGCAGCGGAGTTTCGCCCCGGCGACGTGCCTCCGCGCGCATGCTGTGCACGCGCGCGAGCACCTTCGCCTCCAGATCCCACGGCGGTAATCCGGCAAGGAGGTTCGCCGACTCCCCAGAGATCGTGCGGTATCCGCGGATCATTCGGATCGCCATGACCCTCTGTGCCATGAGCAGCGTCCGAGCGGGACGCCGCAACAGGTTAGGCGCCCAAACAGGGGCGCCGTAGAGGGCCATGGACCGCACGACCCCGGCGTATAACCTCCGGCAGGAGGCGTTTGGCCCCCCGAGGTTGGGGAGGATGCGTTTAAACGCAGCCCCCGTCCTCTCCAACTTTGGAGCCAAACGTCGGAAGTGTTCAATGAAGTTCCACCGACTGTCGAGGACGAGTCCTAGGTACTTCATCGTCGTCTCGACGCCGATGGTAACTCCTCCCGCCGTTATTTGGGACCCACCCGGAGGTGGCGCGTTCCCGCGGCCATGAAAACACATGGCCTCGGACTTGTGGAGCGCCACCTCGAGTCCCAACTGCCGGATTCTCTCAACGACTGTCGCAACCGCTGTCGCCATTAAGTCGGCCGCCGCCTGGTGTGACCTCCCGTGCGCTAGCACCAGCGTATCGTCGGCGTAGCATATTGTGCTAACGCCGTTCGGGAGGTCGGTGCGCAGCACCCAGTCATAGCCGATGTTCCACAGGAGCGGCCCCAGAACCGAACCCTGTGGAACACCGCGTGACATCTCTCGCCGGTTCCACTCGCCCCGGTGACCGGGGTAGCTGACGGACCTGTCCGTCAGGTAAGCCTCGATTACACGACGGAGGTAGGTAGGCACCCGATGATATCGGAGTGCCTCCAAGATGCAGCTCCAGGGCAGGGAGTTGAAGGCGTTGGCGATGTCCAGAGACACCGCCACTACGACCTTACCCCTGGACACTGCAGTCCCCGTCGTGAGGTCTCTAACGCGCATGATGGCGTCCACCGTGGAGCGCCCTCTGCGGAAGCCGAACTGGCCGTCCGACAAGTCCGGCCCAATGTCCGTCAGGTGCGCGACGAGGCGGTTCGAAATGATTCTTTCGAAGACTTTCCCCACCTCGTCGAGCAACACTATGGGCCGGTACGCGGACGGAGAGTCCGCAGGGCGCCCCGTCTTCCGCACGAGGACCAGTTTTCCCGCTTTCCAGAGAAGCGGGAACTGGCCTCTCTCCAGACATGCGCTGTAGAGACCAATCAATCGAGGCCCGAGAGCCTCTGAGGCCAGGACCCATGCCTTGCCATGCAGGCCGTCGGGTCCTGGGGCGGTGTTCTTGGCGCCCATCCGGCGCACCGCCGCTCTCAATTCTGCCTCGGTCACCTCTGGGACGATGTCGTCGTCGTCGTCGCTGTAGCCCGCGTCGGGCACCGCAGGGGGCGGAGTCATATACGGAGGGGTGAACCCCCTCCACAGTCGAGGGAACAGGGTGCCAATCACCTCCTCCAAGACTTCTTGCCGGAGACTCTGGGTGAGCGGGGGAGCCCAGGCGCGGAGCTTGTCGCGTACCATCCGGTACGGGCGTCCCCACGGATCTCTGTCCAGAGTCCCCAGCATCTCTCGGCGGGCCTCCTCCTTGGCCCGCAATATCTCCACTTTGAGGAGGGCCGCTAGCAACCCTAGCCACGTAATTCACCGGCTTTGCGAGGTACGTGCCTACAGCTGGCTACCGATAAACCTTTGTTTTCTACTTATCTCGGCCCAACACTGGCCTGTCTTCGCTGACGTCACACTTCCACTGTATCTATTTTTTAACAAAAAATTGTATCTGCTAGTCACAGGCTTTTTGAAAACTGTGGAGCGGCAGTTTGAAACGTATAAATTAGCGCTGTTTTGTTGTTGTGTTTGAATTGATTTAAAGGTTAGGAAATTATACAAATCAATACTTGGGTACCTAGTCAATACCAAAACGAAGCGATCCGACGGAGAACCAAAGTTAGCGGCATAGCCCAAAGGATTAGAAAGCTGAAGTGGCAGTGGGCCGGTCATATTTGTCGAAGAACCGATAACCGTTGGGGTAAACGTGTTCTATAGTGGAGACCGCGTCTAGGCAAACTTAGTGTAGGGCGCCATCCAGCTAGGTGAAGTGAAGACATCCGCAAGGTGGCTGGCAGTGGTTCGATGAAAAGAGCTGAAGACTCAACTCAGTGGCGTGGCTTTGGAGAGATCTAAGTCCAGCGGACTTAGGTATAATACGATTGCTTTATTAGACAAATGATGCTTAGATCTGTTTGTCGCTAATAAATGTAAGACTTTAGGTTTGACTCCAGAATATGCGAGGAGATTACAAAAATCATAGTTGATGCACCGAGCTCAAAACGGGGCAAAAAAACCAGGTAGCCATAAGGTGTGTCACTGTATTTTTATGCCTATTAATAACAACTACTCACAATTTATAGAGAAAAAAAAAATATAAAAACACATCACGTTCTAAAACTAAAACACTGATATTTTTCCCGAAAATTGTACAGTTACATACTGGTCCTACGGGAACGGCCGGGTCGTGACTGTGAGATAAACAGCTCTACTAAATAAAATTCCAAAAAAAACAAGACTGCAGCCTTCCACCATGATTAAAAAACTACTAGTCATTATTATGAAATTATTACAATCATATAACATACCTACTAATATAAACTACTATTTACGTTTATTTACAACACACAATCAAGCATGACCTTTGTCGCCCGATGAATCTGCGGAATTAAATCAATAGATTTTAAATTACATATCTCCATCAACAAATCAAGTTTAATTCTGTGTTATTATTAACGTATTTTGTTATGTAATAAATATATTTATAAGTTCATATCTTTTTCAACTATTTTATCAATAGAACTAGCTATTATTCGCGACTTCGTGCATGCATTAAATTTTTTTTCCATTCCGGCAGGAATTTAGACAAATATTTCTAATGCTGGTATACACTTACACGTCCTATATCTTTATCGTAATGAATTTACAAATAATTTAAAAACATGTCTGTCGTTTCCAATTCGTAACACCAATATATTGATTGTTAGATAATAATTTACTTCTCGAATTCGAAAACATCGATTATATACCTACAATCAATGTGAGAAATTTATACAAAAACAATATACAATCAGACAACAACAATTTCAATCGCGTTGCAAAAAGTATACCTATCCTCTGTTAATAGGACAGGTTCTCGAGGTTACGCATATAAAACTAATACCAAACAATTACGCTCAGACGAGATCAAACCACCGCGAGTTTTTGCCGTGTTCACAACAAAATGAAATATTTTATATTAGTCACTTTAATAGCATTAATTCACTGGACAAATTGTTCTGATAACGATTACGGTGACGATGCAGATCTATTCAGCTATGACCCAATCGAAGACAGAATAGACAATACGCCAAAGCCTATTTACAAACTGAGCGATGCACCGACTTTATTCAAGAAGTTTGTAAAGGACTTTAATAAAAAATACAAGGATGATGAAGATTACAAGAAACACTACAATAATTTCTTTGAAAACTTGAAGGAAATTAACAGGATAAACAGTGATAAGGAGTACAGTTCGACGTCTGATATCAACATATTCACGGACTATTCGCTCGAAGAGAGGCAATCGTTACTAGGAGTCGCTTTTTAAATTTCAAGGTGAGTGTTAACCAATAATTTGTAACACAGTATCACTACATTGAAGAGCCTCTTCTGAGATTGAATTTGGAAATCTTTAAACCAAATTCGGGCAAAGAGCCTTCAGCCTACTAGACTAGACAATTATTAAAGTGAAAAATCACCGACCTAGCTTCTTACGTAAATCGTAGCAAGGGCCTATTTTTGATTACGTTTTTGTTATTTCATTTGAGCCGTCATTTCACATTTCGCTCGGAAACTATCTATGTCAAATTGTCCGTCAATTTGTCTAACAAAACCTTAAGCAAGTTAAGTGATATTTATATTATTCCTATGACTCACTTTTCTAAGGGACTCTACTTCTATATTAGCTATTTCGTTAAAGATCCAAAGATAGTAAAAAACAATCACTGGAACATAGTACCTTCTCCTTTTTTTGAAGTCGATAACAAACTAACGTTTTTGTAATACACCTTAAAATAAATTACGTCTCGTACCTTCATAATAATATTACAAGCGTACCTATGTGACATTCTGACCTACAGACTAAATATTATTTTAGAAGACAAAAACATTGAAACGATAAAATCATTCATTTTATAGTTGTATTTATGTTACAACCGGTACAATTAATAGATTATAATAACCTAGGTAGCGAAATATTTTTATATAAAAAAAAACTAGACGAGTTTCTACATCCTTGATGTAATTGTTTTTACTATAATTATTATGTAACACTAGCTTCTGTAGCGGATTCGCCCGCGTTCCTTTTGGATAAAAAGTGGTATATGTGTTTTTCCAGACCATAATCTACCCCTATTCCAAATGTTATCTCGATTCCTTCAGCCGCTTTAGCATGAAAAAGTAACAACACACACACTCATACATCCTCACAAACTTTCGCATGTGTTATATTAGTACGATAAGTAGTCTGAGTGTAAATAAAATTAGCGATAATATTTTGTCGTTTTAACATACTTACTAATTGCAATTGCTAAACATGGTTCCCAATTTTATCTCCTGTTCAGTCTGATTTTATTACATAGCTTTATTTCGTAATTACGCTTATATAATGAAGTTTGTAATAAGAAGTAAACTAATTTCAAATTCATTAAAATACAAAATGGAAAAAAGATTTAAAAGTAAAGTTAGTTTATTCATAACTATCCTAAAATAAATAATTATAAGCTAAAGTCGAAATAACTCCATTCAACTACGCACTGGACAGGAAATAGGAGGCTGCATTGCGGACAACGAAACGTAGTTAAGTCTGTTTCTGACGTATTGTATGAATGTGCTTTGTTGTGGAAAGACCACTGACCCTTCCTGACTTTATTAGGACCTCACCAGGATTCATAAATATTCACCACACTCGAGCGAAGATCATAACATTTTTGTTACAAAATAAGTTCGCTTCAGTACTTAGGTAAACAAAAAATATGTAGACTGGACTGGCTTCATAATCTCGTCCTTTTTTGTCAGTTGAAAAATGGGAATATTAAGGATTTTTTACATAACGTTTAACTACGCTTGTTGTACCATGTTGAGTATTTGTAAATGTAAACTTCATCTCAACAATGTTCGTATTTCAGCTCGATTTCTAGTCCGAAAGTGGCAAGTTCTGTGTTTTTCTTATTCCATTTCGGATTTTTGCAATATCCACAGATCATTTTCATATCATAACAAAATGTTTAGCATTGGATACTCCTCATCTTTTGTTTAGATATCTAGTTCAAAAGAAAACAATTAAAAATGGAAATAATGTGTAACACGATAGGTGACAGAGTCAATAAACTTTCTGAATTCTTCATTGAAAACCATTTAGACTAATAACTTTAATCCAAATGATCACTTAGTACTAAATAATGTCTGCAGTACATCAATCAACCCATCTTAATCAATACCCACTTGATTTTCAATTTCTCATCAAAAGCACTCGACTAATTGTAACACTTGCCACAGTATGCTGGGAACTAATACCAGCTATATTTGCAGACAAGACGCCCCAGACATTTCATCAGGCTCATCAAATTTCGGTTAGTGGTTTGGGAATCAGTTAGTGATATCCTATATAGTATAGGTACTTAATATATTTCTAAGTTAGTATTAATTTATCAGATTAACGGAACTTAAGACCTAATGAGGAAAGTATGTGTAAAAATCTTTTGTCCACACGATTAGGGGAATCTCTCTCCATTTTTTGCAATGTAAGGTCCATTCGGTGGAAAGGGGCGTTAATGAATCATCATCAATGAACGGGTACTTATGTTGGCACGAGTCAATTAGTGACCAAATGGGTAGCCATTTCCTTTTTCTTTTGTTCGATTTTTCTATTTTACTTAGTTTTTATATACCTAGTTTAAAAAATTCATTAAAACAAAAAGCGTATGGAAATAAAGGGCTGTAAAATCTGGTCACATTAATAATCCCGGTCAAAGAATTTTGCATAGGGACATTTTCGCCTTGTCGTAGAAGGGTCGACACCGACACAAGGCGGGCATGGGCATAATGAATTAAATTAGGTCCCACTGATAACCTCTCCGCACAATTTTGGGACTACGGGGAGGGACATAACAAAGAGATACGTCTATAGCGTATTATACTGGATACGATTTCATTATAATCATAAATTCCATTTCAATTATAGAGGTTTGGTTACATTTTCTGGTTTTATTTTGTTGTGGACTTGATGTTTGCAGTATATAAGTCACATATAAGTCTATTGATTACTGTATTATCAACTTATGATGACAATAATAATATTATCAACTAAGTTCTTTCTCATTAAATATTTCATATTTCACCATCAGAAGCCTAAAGTTTTCCATTTCTATCCCCTTCTCCTTAGAAGTTATTCAAGGAACGTTAACATTGAACTTTATAAACACAGAAAATATAACCTAACTACATGATTAGACAACAGTTAATTAGAAATAGGTGGGTACTAGGTACGGCACCTCTTTGTAGGGCTAAGGTACCAAGCAAGAGCTAAAAATAGGACGTAATTTTGAATACCGAAACAAAAAAATACTTGTATTATGTGTGTATATTTAATTTAAAATATTACCGGCATAATAAATATCAACAAAAACTCGGTTCAAGAACGAGTGAGTTCCTTAACATTATGACGTCATGCCTTCATCTTATATTTACGAATGCATAAACAATTTGACTAATAAGTTACTAATTTATTTTTAATCAATCGTTTTATCATAAGCACAATAAATAATGCCAGTTCCTTGTTCCGTACATTTTTTTATTGTTGATCTTGATTGCTTCTATCTTGATTCTCTGAATCTAACGAGCAAGGGATTTGATAGCGGGGTTATTGTTACCGGGTATATTAGTGTGTTTTTATTTATATTTTCTTTACCCGGTTATGGCACAGAATCTGGTATTGCTTGTTAAATGACTAAATAACTAGTGAAAACTGGGATTGCAGATATTTAAATATCTGATTCAGAGACATATCAATTATACAAGGCCCTCGTAAAAACTTCTTAATTTTTAATTTTTTTTCTGTAATCACAAGAGTCAAAATAAACGATTTTTTACCCGCGTAAGGCATGCGTTCAAAGATTGGCAGCAACTTTAGAAAAACTAAAGTAGGTACTTAAGTAATAGTACGATAATTTGGGCAGAGGGAGTTGCCTACAAAGTATTATCACATAAATGATTAGTATTTTATGCATAAAATATTTCTTTTGTCACAAATTTTTACGCTTCACAAAGGCCCCCAAACAATTTTTTACACAGGGCCCCGCCAAGACACGCTACGCACCTGATCTGATCCTGCCAACTACGACTTGCTAATATCTTGCCCGTACATACGAGTATAGAAATTAATAAGGCTTGTTATGGTATTCATATAAAGATTGGAATAAGCAAAGTTTCTGTCTGTCAACACACGGCCACACATCAACCTATACAAAACCAGTTTATCCTGGTATCGCGTCGCATCATCTTTCCGCACATTTAACGTTCAGTTTATACTGGTTATTTAAAGCTCGATGTGTAGCCGTGTGTAGCTACCTGCCTAGGTAATAAGTATTTAGTTTGTTTTTATTTTATTAAACACTCGTTGTGTTTGTCGAAGATTAAAAAGTCAGTTACTTAACTGGTTTCGTTTTATAGACACTTGACATCTTTACTTAGATTCGTGTCGTTTGTTGGATATCCGCTTCGCTTTTTGTAAAGCCAAGTAACGACAATAAATGAAAAGTTTTTATTGAATTATCGTAAATGTGTTATTGATTATTTCTATTAAATAAACTTTGCCATTGAACTTTGTAAAATTAACAATTTGTGTTCTATTCATTTCTTAAAACAAGCCAAGATTCGACTCCTTGACCCTGTCTCTACTTATCTCATCAGTTTTCTACATCCGAGACAGTAGCTATAATTAACATTTTAACCGGAACTGTCCGATATTGAACCTTTGGTCCTTCGGTATACTATTTTTAAATATCTATATTTAACACCTTAGTGCATTGACCATGTCTATAAACATATGCAAATAGTGAAATAAAACTTTACAACACTACTTACAATTCAAAAACAAAATATCACAAGTCAAAAATTGGAAGCACTAACCCATTAAGTCATTCGTAACTTAAGAAAATTGACATTATGACGGTATTCTGTTAATTGAGATCCTATTGTCATTAGGCCCTTTCCAGGTACAAAGAAGCAACATAATTCTTTGGTAGGGGACAAGACCTTGCTAATGTCAAGTGGTCCGAGTCCAAACTAGAGAGTTATGTGCATAACGCCTGCTCTGTGATTTATATCGTTTCAGATTCGACCCACATACATATGTATGTATGACCGCATACATTTTAACAAAACGTTTTCGAGCGCTGTAGGAACGCCACGTGACTCTTCCATTTAACAAAATTTATGTGAAACTTAAATGTTCTGTTTTTGTTCCAGGACACAGGACCAACGGATACAGTTCAAAAAATCTCGAAGATATTTCGTCCAGTTACAAAATTAAAACCGATTTCAAAATAACTTGCAGTTTTATTTCTTTTGTCCTTTATTTTTCAACTCAAATTATATTGAATGCGAAAAAGAATAAGTGAATAGATACTTTGAATAAATTATCTAGGTGCATATACAAATTATACATAGGCTTAATCCGGATCTCACAGGTCGTTCTCTTATAACCAATTACAATCACGAAACCTTGAGAAGTTGGATGCAAGAGCATAAAAAATCCATAACGGATATAAAATAATCTACATAAGAAGATCCATAACGTAGATGTAGGTATAATGACCCGGATTCATCTACGTAGGATAATTTTTGTTCTTGTAAGTAACGTGGGTAATATACTTACTGGTCAAAGTACCCGGTCTTTATTACAAGGATATGCGTTTCTTAGATTACGCAATAAATATGTGAATTGTGAGAGAGTGCACCCTATAGGTCACCAGATATTTGGTGCATTTTTGTCAGTACGTAATTTCAGTTACCCCATGGATAAGAACATTCTATGCTTTATTTTGACTGTTTAGAAACTTCTTTGTACTAAAGAAAAACAATTAACATTACATAAGAACCTCATTTTAGGTGAGAAAAAGATATGCCTAAGCTAGATAACCTTAGTTAGCAGGACAGTCCCCCACTGCAGTAAGGTACTTACTACAGGCAGCGCAATCATTTAAATATGGAACACCAATCCCCACTGACGTCACAATACATTACTATTTTTATGTATGAGGCAGGTGTACATTCGTAAAAGATTTATTCTCGTCTATTCACAAGACATTGTTATCGTAAATCAAACGAGAAATTTCCTTATTTCAACAGAATTTTCGCAAAAAAACATCTTTGAATATAATTCTCAAAGACGATACTGACTACAATATCCCAAAGGAGATAATATAAAGATTCGATAAACTAGCTCCCCCCTCCTGTGGCTTCGTAGCCTTGTGGACTACACAATGAGATGTTTGTTTTAGATCCTTTTTAGTTCTGATGCAAATTTAAATTCGTTCTGCATTCCAATTTCAATTTATAGTTTTCAAATACGATTTATAATAAAGTAAGTAAGTATTTTCGTCAATAAAATAATATTATTGGTGTTATTTATAATAATATATAACTTGCTTTCATTTAAGTACTACACTTAGATATGTCGAAATACTCAAACGTTACTATATAGGTAAGTCGCGGTATAGTACTGTCAATACAAATTCTTTGTAAAATGACAGAGATGCCACGATATTTAGGTACAATTTATAATTGAGTAGCCTCTCAGTATTCAAGCGTTAAGCAGCCACCAAACTATGGGATTCATTTAAAGATTGATAGATTTTTCCTTTTGAAACCATAATTATAAATCTACCTACCCATTTTTGTTTCACTCAAACAAAAATTGTTGCATTGCTGACAAAGAGCGACAGGCGCTCTAATTTTCTCTTAGTGCCTAATTGTTTATTTTTACAAAATACCATTCGTTTATTAGGGTCAAATAATCAATTTAAATATAAGTGGGCAAAACATAAACTATTTTATTATTAAACTCAAATAGGTACCTACAGGTACAGAAGGGACATCATCTAGTCCCTGCATAAAATTTTAGAGCACCGACCAATACTACACTTCTACTAAATTACTTAATTGCTAGTTTGAAAAATGTAACATAAGTACTTATGAATAGCATCCACCGTGAAATCTATATCGTTTTCGTCCCGAAGTAAAATGGTTCTGTCTTGGTATAGGACAGGTATTACCTACTGTTTACCAGAGCAACAATAACAAGGTTGTGTAAGTCACAGACACCATGTCTAAGAAGTTCCGTCTTGCGTATGAGAAAATACCCCAACCGGAGAATAATTCACTTTTGAGAAAGCACGGCCAAGCGTGACCATTGCTCTGAAAGCATGAACGTGACGGTAGAGTTTATAACAAAGTAACATTCAGCAAATGAGTAAGCTTCTTCAGATGAATACAATATACCTATAAAACGTTTAATCAGGTGTGTCTACATACCTAACTATATCTTATCTAACTACGTTTTATGTAAAAAATCATTACAATAAACCTCTCAGTCCTTTATCCTATCAATAATATTTCACTTTTCTATGTTGTTAGGTTACAGTTTAGTTTCCGCTGTATTCGGGGTGGCGCTACAATCGCACTGTTTAGATTTATAATGAAATATTAGATCATATTCATAACAAAATTCCTTGTTCTTATTGTTAAATTTATATTACAAGTTTTAGAACCCCATTGATACCTAATTACAAGATATTTTTTTATTTTCATTTGATCATATATGTAGCAGAAACGAAACGTTACTGACGTTGTCAAATGACATTGACAGCATCCAAAATTTTTGTCAACATTCGACACGGTTTCGTTGCGAAAGGTTTTTGCACTCGAAAATAATTTAAATAAAATATTTATGTCAGTGTATTGAACTATTATTCAATGAGTAGAACGTCGTGATGTGTATAAATTGCTAAAATTATAAATTAAAGGCTTTACTGCAAGGAAGAATAGACAACAGCTGTGCTGCGGTAAGTATCTTCACCGAAAGTTGCATTGCAGTTTTTATATTACACCATCAATGAAAAAAATGTAATCGATATCTGGCCAGGCTTTTATTCAACAGCTAGTAAACGGTACTTTTTGATTTTCTTATGAAACATCAACATCAAGTGATCTTTAATTCTTCTTGTCGCTAATTTGCGGTAAAATAATAATGCTCTTCACATAAAAGTTTTTAAATTAATTATGAATTTTAATGAACTTTTTGATTAATGCAGTTTCATCCTTGAGCGAATAATTTCCATATAATTTTAATTGCTGATGTGTAATTCTTCTTCCAATTACATTTGAATTAGCTGCATAGATACAAAAGTTTTATTATATGAAATCAAAGTTTGAAGTTTTTAAATAATAATGTGTACCTGCATAAAACTTTCAATATATTGAGATAATTTTCTTCCTGCTTATAATGAGTTCTTAACTTGGTATCTAGTAATAATAATATAACTTTACATTTGTCGGGACCATTTCAATACTTCCTTTTCTTAATTTTAATATATTATTGATGACTGTCACTTCTTTATGCTAGGTACTTTAAAAAAAACTAATAGGACAATAAAATTAATAGAACTTGGTTTTGTTGAACCATTTCCGAGCAATTATCGTTGTATATTCTTAACACACTATTACCCATAAATCCCCAAGCGGTCACCGGTGACCGCTTTCCACTAATATTACATTACATTATAGACCTTTTTTCTAATATTTAGAGACTACTTTTGTATGACCAAATTTAGGGGGTGGATTTCAACGGGATAAAATATATTTTGTTTTAGTCTTACAAAATAGCATACATGCATATTAATTCTAAAAGTAATATAAATTAGTGATCCATTGTATAGTACACAACATTAACTTACAAATTACTAAATAAATAACATGGGAAATTGATAGTTATTATAAAAACATAGTGGAGCACTGAAAAATTTTAAATTACAATTTATTGTGTAAAATTTTTACATTGGCATCATAATAAGAAAAAACTAATGGAGTGAGCTAAATAAAACCGTTTAAAAATATAACATAACATAACATCACACCTTTTATTCCCGAAGTGGTAGGCAAAGGTGCACATTTTGCCATTGTACAATCTAACACCCACTTTTCACTATTTATGTTATGTGTCCCATGTAATAGGGGGTGAGAAAAAATATCAATTTAGAATGAAGTCTTTAATCGATAACAAACTCTGTTGAAGGTGAATGCTTACCTAATTGATCTAGGTAATCCCTGTCTTAGATACTCAGGCTACTATTAAGTACAACGCTTGGTGCTTTAGGAACTTATAAGAATAATATATGTATGTATACTGTTACTGAATCACCAGCAAAAATTCATACCCCTGTACACGTTTTGTGATAGCTATTTACTTCCCAATTGAGCTATAAAACAAACTAAAAAGTTGTTTGTTCGTTGCATCGTAAATTGGACAATATGTGTCACATAAATATTATGCAAGTTAGTATTATGATGACAAATGTCTTTGATAAGGTATCTCTTATATGTTTTTTAAGTCCCCCACAGCTTAATACATGTGGATGGTTAGTAATCACTTACATGTAAAGATAAATTCATATCTGAAGACTTATTAAATCATCACTTTTGCACTAAGATATACAGGATGTAAATGTAAAGCTCCCAAAAAGACAGCGTTTTGGGAACATACTGTTTGACAGCAAAAAAAAATTGTTTTCAACCGACTCTCAAGGAGGTTCTCAAATCGACTGTATTTTTTTACAATTTTAATCTTGTTGTTCTTACAACATCAGACTTAATAGTACGAGATCCGGCTGCAGAATTAGTGTACCCATCGAGTGTTTGCTGAAAACCACATTTTTACACATATTCATGATTAGGAGAATTTATATCCACCAGGTTGCCTATCAAAATGTGGCCGCAAGTATTTTTAATTAAATTATTAATAATTCATAATCCGTAAGAAATTTCATTGACTTTTTTTTCAATGAAATGTCGTCTACTTTACGGCAACATCTATAAAGACTCTGAAAAATTATGGTTGCCGTTGCGCACCTGGCCGCACCTCTTCGCAGCCAGGTATACACAGGTATGAATTTGTTACATTTATACACCCACAACGTACATTTATAATTTATATATCAAATTAAAGCAAATTTTCTTCTGTATGAAAAAAGATTTAATTTTATTCAAGTATTACATTTATTTTACATATTCATCAATCATTAGTTTAAGAAAATTATAAATTTTTAAAATGTATATTATTATATATTTGTATTATACTTCCATGACTCTTTTTTAAAAATCTGAATCATCGGAGCTCTCAGTCACACTATCATCGCAGCTATCACTTTCATCAGAAATATCGGTATCGTCGTTATTATCGGAAGGCTTGTTCGTGGAATCACACAGCACATTCTCAACTTGCGCTGGAGTTGGATCTCCCAGGAACCATGTTGGTTTTAAAAAACCATCTAACAGCAGCCAGCCATTATTTTCCGCGCTGAGCTTGATGCAATCCCGCTCAGTAGCATTTAACCACATCGAATTAACAAAGATGGTTCGCAATAACTTTTCCTTTAAAGATTTCCAGCATGGTGGAATGTGCGTTGAGTCAAAACCTTTAATTCTTCTCATAAATTTCTCACTACTTCCTTTTGAAGCGTACATTTTGTTGAATAATAAAAATCTTGCGGCATTTACACTTTGGCACTTTGGGAGTTCATACATAAGGCACGTAAAATGTTAAATCTGACGCATGCGCAATGGCTTTAAACCGTCCGACAGCTGGCAATCGCTATCCTCGTCTGACTAGTGGTGTTACGCGCTAGCTCTCTTTCACTCTACTTTTAATATTTACTATATTTATTAGCCAGCAACCCTTATTGGCGGCCAGATTTAATTAAGCAACCGTATATAATAATATACAGAAAAAAATTTGCTTTAATTTGATATATAAATTATAAATGTACGTTGTGGGTGTATAAATGTAACAAATTCATACCTGTGTATACCTGGCTGCGAAGAGGTGCGGCCAGGTGCGCAACGGCAACCATAATTTTTCAGAGTCTTTATAGATGTTGCCGTAAAGTAGACGACATTTCATTGAAAAAAAAAGTCGCTTGATGCAATCCCGCTCAGTAGCATTTAACCACATCGAATTAACAAAGATGGTTCGCAATAACTTTTCCTTTAAAGATTTCCAGCATGGTGGAATGTGCGTTGAGTCAAAACCTTTAATTCTTCTCATAAATTTCTCACTACTTCCTTTTGAAGCGTACATTTTGTTGAATAATAAAAATCTTGCGGCATTTACACTTTGGCACTTTGGGAGTTCATACATAAGGCACGTAAAATGTTAAATCTGACGCATGCGCAATGGCTTTAAACCGTCCGACAGCTGGCAATCGCTATCCTCGTCTGACTAGTGGTGTTACGCGCTAGCTCTCTTTCACTCTACTTTTAATATTTACTATATTTATTAGCCAGCAACCCTTATTGGCGGCCAGATTTAATTAAGCAACCGTATATAATAATATACAGAAAAAAATTTGCTTTAATTTGATATATAAATTATAAATGTACGTTGTGGGTGTATAAATGTAACAAATTCATACCTGTGTATACCTGGCTGCGAAGAGGTGCGGCCAGGTGCGCAACGGCAACCATAATTTTTCAGAGTCTTTATAGATGTTGCCGTAAAGTAGACGACATTTCATTGAAAAAAAAGTCAATGAAATTTCTTACGGATTATGAATTATTAATAATTTAATTAAAAATACTAGCGGCCACATTTTGATAGGCAACCTGGTGGATATAAATTCTCCTAATCATGAATATGTGTAAAAATTTGGTTTTCAGCAAACACTCGATGGGTACACTGATTCTGCAGCCGGATCTTAGACTATAAACTGTCAAACACTGCGAGGACACCGGTGACCGCTTGGTGTTTGACAGTTTAAGCAGTTGATTATAACTATCAATACAAAAAGAAACATTTAATTCCTTACTTTTATGAAAATAAAACTTATTGTTACCATCACCTGTCAGCATTATTCAGGAGAATTCCGTTTACAACCTGTATTTCCTTAAAAAATCTATTTTCGTAGCAATGTATGAATCTTGGGAAGACTGCTTGGTTGGCCGAGTGGTCGCAAGTGCGACTGCCGGGCAAGGGGTCTCGGGTTTGATTCCCTGGTCGGGCAAAGTATTACTGAGGTTTTTAAAAATTCTCGCTAATAGCACGGAGTCTGGAATTGTGCCCGATATATGGCAATAGGCTCACCCCCTTTACATGGGATTCAGAACATAAATAGTGATAAGTGGGTGTTACATTTTACAGTGGCATAATGTGCACCCCTGCCTACCCCTTCGGGGATGAAAGGCGTAATATTATGTTTATGTATTGTATGAAACTTGGTATCTTCATGCTAAAGAACTTTTTAAACTTTTTGTATAAATCAACAATCAACTAACTGCTTTAGCCATTATACTTATTTGATTGATATTACTCACGCCACTTTAGAAAAGTCTCCAGTCATAAATTATTTTAGAAGCTCTTACTATACATATAGATGTGTTTACAAACAAACTACATAAACTCAACACACTTGTTAGATCATATTTATAAGTGTAAGTAACAGATTGTGCAATAGTTTACTACATACATTGCATACAATTATTCAGTAGGCAATTTAGATCTTGCATTCAAATTCCCGCAAACAATCACTTACGCAATAATATCCACGATAAATGCACAATAACAACTAGTTTTCCCTTACAATGTGTAGAAAAACATCATAACAAAAAGTAAGATATTAGTAATAGTCGTAAAAAACTACTATTTTTTTTTTTGTTAGAAGAGTTAAATTGAGTATTCTATGATAACACAATCAGTTTATGCACACGTACTTCGTTTGATGGTATAATCAACGGGTCGTTAGTAGCAATTCGACATGGCCTTTAAAACCAAGGTATAAGATTCATTTTTCCA